AAAATGCTATGACAAGTGGTTCATGATAATCTAATCCTGGGTTCTCCAAAAAGAGTGGTTCAAACTTCTCTAATTCAGTGTTGGTGGCAACCATATGGAATGTATCTGCTACAAACAAAAACCATCAATTCTACCTATCATTTCCCTGATGGGAGGATAATCCTGGTCAACAATGGGCTCATATGGAGTAGAGAGTGCATTACTAGCTAAGTCTTAAAGGAAAAAAAATAAATGTCACTTTTACATTTGTGAATGTCCTTATTTAAAAATGAGACCATCCAATCTAACAAAGGCTGGATCCCAAACAGAAGAATTTTAAATAGCACTGATTCATTTTATAGAGTCAATCAAAATGACCGAGGATGGGTCTCCTCAGCATGCTCACCATTTTTGTTCTTCAGGTTGGGGTCAGCTCCACTCCTCAGGAGTTTTAAGGCACACTGTTTATGGGCCCGGTAAGCTGCACAGTGCAGGGGGGTGTTTCCTAACTGATCCACACAGTTCACGTCAGGAGGACTGGGCCTGCTGAGCTAACAAAGGAGCACAATGTCATTATATGCCAGAGAAAGAAGGCTCAGGCAGAGCCCTCAGGACGGCAGAGCTCACAGGCAGGCAGACTGTATCCCTTTGGCTCACACCTCAGCTGGCTATGCATGTCCTCAGGAGCCATGATTTCTGAGGCCTGTGTCCTAACACCACACATGACAGCAGGGCACCTACCCCTCACATTAAAATTTCATAGTGAGCCGGGCGGCGGTAGTGCACACCTTTAATCCCAGCACTCGGGAGGCAGAGCCAGGAGGATCACTGTGAGTTTGAGGCCAGCCTGGTCTACAGAGTGAATTCCAGGACAGGCATCAAAACTACACAGAGAAACCCTGTCTCAGAAAAAAAAAAAAAAAAAAAAAAAGAGATTTCACAGTGGTGGCACATGCCTTTAATCCCAGTACATGGAGGTAGAGGTAGGCAGATTTCTGAGTTTGAGGCCAGCCTGGTTTACAGAGTGAGTTTCAGAATAGCCAGGACTACACTGTCTGGAAAGAAATAAAAAAAGATCTCACTAACATGCTTGCTGTCAACAGCCCTGCATTTCATACTTGTAACAGCAAAACTATAAATCCTGCACCTGCCCACAGTCCCCAGGCGGAGTCAAACCCGAGATGTTAGAAGCATAAATGTCAAGGTTCTTTCTGCTGAATCTGTCGTCCCACCTCGCTGCTTCAGCAAGCTCTAGATAGTCTCCATTTCACAAAATGTTTAAAATGTTGCAGGTACTATACTTAGAACCCAAAGAAGTGTTTTCAAGGGAGCTGAAATAACTTTAAAGCAAATGGCAATGCTTCAGTCTTGAATTCAGAACAAATTTAGAGTTTCATATTTAATGAGACCATGCAGCAAATGGAGAGGGGAAAAGTAGGTCTCCTAGGAAGACGGGGAAAGCAGGCAGAACTGGCAGCTTGCTCTGAGCTTGATCCAAAACTGTCCCTTTTAGGTATACAACTCTTCTAGAAGGACAATGTTCTTTCGGAATTTATTGTTCATCAGAATGAGAAAAACTTGTTCCTTGACAGAACCTGTAATTTTTTTTTCAATTTTAAATGGGCTTAATCTGAAAAAAAAAATTTAATTTTCTTTACCTTAACTATTTGCTATGAGAAACTGGGTTCTTAATCATCAGATTTTTGATTGGAGAAAAGAAAATAAATCAGAATTCAGAGATCCATCAGCATGTAAAGCTCCTAAATTATTCCCTGGCTGAGTTGCTAGGCGAGTGAGTGTGTGTGTGTGTGTGTGTGTGTGTGTGTGTGTGTGTGTGTGTGTGACACTTCTATTCTAGTGTGAAGATAAGAGATTTCCTCCCACAGCCACTAAATTATGAACTTAAAATTTAAGGAGAAAGCACTACCATATGAAAATGTTACCAGAGCTGACACTTCAGCTGTCCTGCCTTCTCTTGCTGCTCCTAAAAGCAATTCTTCAAGCTTTCTTTGTTGAGTCCTTTCCACAGCTGCAAGAGAAAAAAAAAATGTCTTACTCTAGAGCTAGTACAATCTTATTGGGAAACTCATTACATTATAAAGGGGGGCTGGAGAGACGGCTCAGCAGTTAAGAGCACTGGCTGCTCTTGCAGAGGACCTGAGTTGGGTTCCTGTTGTGGGACATTTGTATACTGTGTGAAGGTGTATTGCTGTGATTGGTGCAATAAAAAGCTGAATGACCAATAGCTAGGCAGGACATATAGGTGGGACTTCCAGGGAGAGAAAAGAAGAGAAGATAACTGAGGTGCATAAAGGTTGCCAGTGAGACTCTGAAGAAGCAGGACATGCAGGAGGAGAGGTCAACATCCACAAGGCATGGAGCGGGATGTAGATTAATGGAAATGGGTTAATTTACATTACAAGAGCTAGTTAGGAACAAGCCTAAGCTATAGGCCAAGCTTTCATAATTAGTAAGAAGTCTCCGTCTCATTTGGGAGTGAGCTGGAGGCCCAAAGGAAAGTCTGACTACAGGTTCCCAGGACTCACATTAGGCAGCTCACAACCACCTCTAACTCCATCTCCAGGGGCTCTGACACCCTCTGCTGGCTCCTGCAGGTACCCACCACACACACGGCATAAATTTACAAAGATACACACTCAAATCCATAAATAAAAATACGTAACAAAGATGAATAAAGAGTAAGTTGATCACAGTGTAGAAAAATACATATGTTTTAAATTGAAATTCAAATGCAGTTAGATTTGGAAGTTCTTCTGTTTTTCATTTCCAGTAAGCTCCATTTTCTTCATTTTGGGGTGAAATCACAATTTCAATTCAAAGGACATCATGGATTTACTTATTTATAACACTTAGCATAAAACAACTTTTGATGGTGAACTTTTGATGATCAAAATACTACTGTTATCTGTCTGGGAAAGAAAATAAATGGGGTTTGTAACTTCTAGAAATGTTATACAGGGGAAAGTAGTAATAAGAAATAGCAATTGGTAGTAAGATACATACATCAAATACCTGTTTATTTTATAAGACTAAATTACTTACATACTCCTATTAAAAAAAACCCGTAAGCTGTATTTGTATTTAACAAATACTATAATACCAAGTGTCAAGCACTCCTCTGTAACCACTAAGGCAGGGGTTATCTTATGAATTACAAAGCAGAAGCTAGGTGGTAGAGTCATAGGCCTTCAGTCCCAGCATTTGGGAGGCAGGGACAGGCAGATCTCTGAGTTCCAGGCCAGCCAAGGCTACACAGAGAAACCTTGTCTCTAAAAACAGTAAGTAAATAAGCAGATAGATAGATACATAGATACATAGATAGATACATAGACAGACAGACAGACAGATACATACATACATAAATACATAGACAGACAGACAGACAGAGAACAAAGCAGGTATGGAGAGGTAAGGAAGGCCACAGAGTGGAGGGCTGGGATTGTCAAGGCCGCTGCGGTCTCTACGGTTAGTTCTGGCATCCTATGTGCAGAAGAGCAGCTGGCAATGTGATGAAAGAGTGGACTGTATCAACAAGCTCTCTTTTGCCTGGACTTGTTCTGTTGGGAAGGAGAAGGAGGTGGTGACCGCTGCTGCTGCTTCAGGCTGAAAGTTTAGCTCAGTGGTAAAGAACCTGCCTACAAAGTACAAAGTCCTGGGTGAAATCCTTAGCACTGTAAAACAAGGGCCTGTAAGTGTTCTTTTTAGCCAAGTATTGTGGTATACTCCTGTAACCCCAACACTTGGGACACAGCAAAAGGATCAGGATTTCAAAGTTACTCTCTGCTACATAGCAAGTTTAAGGCCACCTTAGACTGTATGAGACCTTGTTTCAAAATAACAACAAAGAAGCAAGTTCCCACAAATACTTAGTGATCCAGCTTAACATGTACTACAAAGGCCATAAGAGTCATTCCCTAACAGTCCTCCTGGCTAAGGAAGACCTTCTAGTCTACTCTTCCCCTGGGCAGAGAAGACAATGAGGAGCCAGGTAACTGGAGAAAGGAACATTTGTTAAGGGCTAGTCACTACTGTGTACATTAAAACAAACACATACACTACATAGGAATGTCTAGAACTAATAACTGACTACAGTTACTACCTATCATCTTCTATGCTCATATCTTTATTCCCATGCACTATCTATCATCTATCTGTCTGTCTGCCCATCACCTACCTGTCTGTCTGTCTGTCTGTCTGTCTGTTTCTATTTCTCTCTGTCCACACAGGCTCTCAGTGGCTTCCTCTATTGCTGGAATTGCTCTGTTCACTCTTTCCTCTCATTGAGTTGTGAGCATTCGGAGAGCAGTGGTATTCCCTTTAGTCCTGTGCACACCACTATCATGTATAGCATTACCCTTGGCTGTGACATATTTCTTCCTCATTCTGGAAGCAGGATAGTCATCTGCATTCTTAATTATCCAGAGCATTTATGAGTGTCTGGCATAAAGTGCATCTGCCTAACAACAATCGAATGGCCCATAACCATATTCCAACTTTAAAAATGAAAAAACGGAATAAACTAATATTCATTTCTACAATTTCTAGGCTCACAAATGAGGGGAAACAGTCAAGGATTCAAACATGCTCCTGGGCATTTCCTGCCCTGTGTTTATCATGGCAGACAAAGAAGACCACTGGCTCAGACAAAGCAAACAAAGGCCTCGGCTGGGGTAGAGGCCCCTAGATTGTTCTTCCAGTGTGCTGTTCAGATAGATGTTTCAGTCGTGGGAAGAGAGAGCTGAATGGCAATGACGTCCATTTTTCTGAATGTTTTCCTCACGGAATGTTCCTTTTGACCTTGGACACAAGGTCTCATGCAGCCCAGACTGGCCTTAATCACACTAGGTAGCTGAGGCTGGCCTGGAAGTCACAGGGCACCTGGATCTACCTCCCAGCCACTGGCATCATTGGCCCCCACCTGCATTTTAAGTCTTTCTTCATCCTGAAGACACTTAGCTGCTTCCCGGAGAAGGTTACATAATAACACAATATTGTACAAACAGCACCTGGGAAAGGAATTTCATGAAGTCTCTACTTTGCAGTCACCACAGACATGAATGATGGGGACAAATGTTACTAATGAACATTGTATCCATGACTAGAAGTTTAAGGGTAAATAAGATGTTTATGTTACCCCTTCCACAGTCTACTTACTAGTTACAAAGGGAAAAAAAGCTACTTTTTCTCAGCAGGTCACAGTATCCGAGTTAGTCAATGTCAGCTGCCTCAATAGTGGCACAGATCAATTCATGTGTTTCCTAATATGCAGGAACACAGGAGACAACCTCACCTACTTAGTATTCCTGCCCCCAGGCATGTACTGTATCTAATCACCTGGAAGGAAAATCTCAAACTGAGGGACATTCAATTAAAAAATCCACAACTGTCTTTCCAACAAACTCTCCCCAATATACACACATACTTTGTGACATACAAGTCTCACCATGCAGCTCTAGCTGGCCTGGAACTCAGTCTAGACAAGTCAGGCCTCAAACTTGAGACAATCCCTCTCCTCAGTCGAAGCTGCCCTCCTCTTCAAGAAGGTCAATACTATATTAAAAAAAAAAGCTGGTGTGTTGTCTCAGATAAAAGGGACTGGAGAGACATGACAGATACAACATGGAATTATGGATTAGATCCAGATTGGATAGATGTCACATGGACAACTGATAAAATTTGTATATGAAATGTATATTATATTATAAAAGGCTCAGTATTCCTTTTCCATAATTCATGGGATTAAAAGTGTTTAACCTTTCAGAGTTTAAAGTTTCATAGTTTTGTTTTGTTTTTTTTGAGGTTTTGGAGTATTTGCAAACTTCACTGGCAAAGTGTCCCTAACCCAAAGTTAGAAATGCTCAAACGCACTAGACCCTCTGCATAATCAAGACAGCAGCTTGATCTGCTTAAGGGGATCAGGATCTGTCCCTGGTGCACAAGGAGCTGGCTTTTTGGAACCCATTACCTCTGCTGGGACACCTTGCTCACCCTTGATGCCGGGGGAGGGACTTAGACCAGCCTCAGCTGAATGTAGCAAGCTCTGCTGATTCCCCATGGGAGGAGGCCTTACCTTTTCAAAGGAGGAAAAGGGGGGTGAGTTGTGGGATAAAGGCTGGTGGGAGAGTGGGGGGAGGGAAGAGAGGGGAGTCTACGGTTGGTATGTAAAATAAATTAAAAAATTCTTAATAAAAAAAAAGTTCAAATACCCTTAACTTTTTAGGCATTATGATATTCAAAAGTTTTAGAACTTGGAGCCATTCTAATTCAGATTGGGGATGTTCAGTCTGTATATTGGATTTATTTATTTCTTTTTATATGCATGAGTGTTTTGTCAATGTGTGTATCTACGCATCATGCCTATACCATGTGGATGCTGGGAAATGAACCTGGGTCTTCTATAAGAAAAACAAGTGCTCTGAGCTGCTGAGTCATCTATCTCTCCAGCCACTCAATTTATCTCTACTAGTGCTAAATTTTTCTGATGTTGATCATTAGTCAGCCTTTGACACGCATAGGTGAACTACTCTGGATTTAACAAACCACAGATTGAAAATGAAATAAAATACAAAGAATCTGTTCTGAACACTGTATTCCTTGCCATTATTTTCTGAGAAACACAACCCAACTGTTTATACAACATAAGCTGGATGAGGCATTACAAGTACTCCAGAGGCTATTGAATGGATTTTCACAAGGGTATCAATACTGTCCAGTGAAGACAGGAATCTTCTTCACAAAGGTGCTGGGACAACTGGAACTTACACAGGAACAGGTCTCCCTGGCCCACAGCATATGAAACTTTAACTCAGAATGGAGCACAGGCGTATAAATAAGCCAGACCTCTTGAACAGAACATTGTTGTGACTTTAGGCTAAGAACACCAGAAACACAAGAACAAAGGGGAAAAACCAAATTAATGGTTCCTCATCAATCAATCAACAACAGGTCCACACAAACAAAACTTTTTCAAAAGTGAAAAAACAACCTCCATGGGAGGGAAGTTTAGAAATCATATATCTGGGGACTGGAAAGACAACTCAGCAGTTAAGAGCACTGGCTGCTCCTCCAGAGAACCAGGGTTCAATTCCCAGCACCTGCATGGCAGCTCACACCCGTCTATAACTCAGTTCCAGTGGATATGGAACCCTCACATGGACATACATGAAGGCAAAAACACTAATACACATAAAATAAAATTTAAAAAATCATATATCTAAGATGGACTTGTATAAACAGCTCATATTAAATAATTTGTGCACAATTTGAAGGCATATGGGAGGCTACCTGTAAGTTCCACTCACACACACAACACACAACACACAAACACACAAACCAACCATTTTATAAAAGGCACTTGAGTACCCATGTATTTTAGAATCCACAGGCCCAGGATTTTAAGATTCTGCAACCAATGCCCAAAGATATGATGGGGGTTTCATTGTGATTATGTAAGAAGACACCCTGTTCTTGAGCCATACTGATATGTTTGGAGGAAATAATGTCATTCAGTATGCCAATTACTTTCAAAAGGTTGGACAAAAAAAAAAATCAATTCAGTAGCATCAAATAATATTTTAAAAGATAAACTAGATACAGGCAAGATGTTTGTATGTGTAATATAAGTGAAAGACAAAAGGCACACAAGTATTCATTTAATTACTCTTAAAACTTTCCATAGGCTAAGAATCAGAGAGAGGGGGGGAGAGAGAGAGGAAGAGAGAGAGAGACAGAGGTTATTCCTCACTAGTACTTGACAGATAGCTGTCTACCCTCTTCCAGAATACCCCTTGTCATGGAAAACTCACTGCATCTCACCTTTCAAGGCAACTCACACCCTTGTGTACAACACAGTGGGCCCAAGATAAACTCTGGCACGTTAACTGACTGTTGTTCTACACAAATCAGACCACCTCTATCTAAATACCATCACTTCAGAGAGTTGGATGTGGTTTTGTTATGCCTACCCCTGTTTCCTGGCTCCATGTTTTATCCAACTATCTGGTTTATGGCCTATCTATTATCAGGCTGAGCTGTCCTCAGCACTTCCTGGAGTCTGCAAATGAAGACTTAATGCCATCCACAAACGGCATTGGATCTGGGTTAGGTGATCTCATCAGAACAAAATCACTCAATTAATTCTCCATTTTCTGTTTTCTACTTCCTGGGCTAGGACCACAGAAGCTGACGAATGGCATTGCTTATAAAATCAATGACGCCCCTGCCTTTGCACAGCTTGGGTTTCAGAAGAACCTTAGAGCATGTCTTCACAATTCCCCTTATTAAATGTCCACTTGTCAAACTAAGCTAACATTCAGTCTCTCAGGAAAATCTGGGTCTTGGGTTTCCATGAGACAACAGAATGACAGAACAGGATAAAAAAGTTACCTCACCTTTCAATTAGATCACAATGTATTAAAGGGCAAAGACCAATATATCCAATTGAAGGGCAAAGACCAATATGAGTCCTTAAGTCGAATGCTACATTGACTGACAGAAGATAAGGGTGGGTTTGGCTATTCACTGAAACCAGAGAGTTCATTTCAAGTGGAGACACTAGCTGAAGATGTAACAAAATGTCAGCCTCCCAGAGTAGCTAGAGGTAGCTGATTGTGACCAGTGTAGTGACTGATGTAGAGAAAGATCTCACCAAAGCCTGCAGTATGTGTTAATAACAATTCTCTAATATATATGCCTAACAAACATTCATTATTTTGTAACTGTAGAATAAGCAAGAAGAGTTCAACATTTTAAACAAAATGGAAAATCATTAAAAGCAAGAGTGTGGTTTTACATGAATAAAAATACTAATAATTAAAGTTACAAAGTTAACATCCTTAAACACAAAGGTGTATCAACCCTACTCTGAATTTCAAGAAAGAGAAACAGAGTATGTGTGAAGTTACATCTGTAATCCTGAGACCTTATCTGCAATGTAGAAACTACCTGCTCTAGCCTTACAGCAAAATCTGGACCACTCAAAGACTAAGCCTATTACCTAAGGCTTTTCTAGTATAAACTTGGCGGTGGTTTTGTTTTAAACTGTAGTGGAGAAATTTCTCTACACAATTAAAGGCTCATACATCTTCTTAAATGCACTTAAATCTCTGATGTCCACAGCAATTACACCAATCCATCAAGAAATGAGTGTTGGTGTTACACTCTAGTGAGATCCTGGGGAGGAAGAGGCCAGGCAGCAATACCCTTTACACTAACAACTGACTCAGATCAACCAGAGCTCCCTCCGACAGTTTCTCTGCCCTTTTATCTAGACTCTCATTATCACGATACAGCAGTTTATCTAAGCCACATCTTCCCATTCTACATTTTCTACTTCTCATTTGGTCGGGCATTTGAGAACACTTTTAACTTATAGGTTCTTTTTAATTGAAGATTTTAATTGTTATAAAGTGAACGTCCCAGCTTGGATGTGAAATCGTCCCCAGCTGGTGGTCATGTTTTGGGAGGTCACAGAATCTCTGAGGTGGTACCTAGCAGAGGAAAGTGGATGGCTGAAGAATGGGCCTCGAGTTTCCCAGCCCTGGCCCTCTTCTGGCGCTCTCTCCGCTCTCTGCTTCTCCAGAGTAAAAAGAACAGCCCCACCCACATGCTCCCACCACCATGGAGCCACCGGCATGCCTTTTGCCAAGTGTGAGCCAACTCAAGTCCTTCTCCAGGCTGCTTCTGCAGCTCTTCTGCCCAGCAACAGTAACTAAGGGAGTGAGGAAACAGATAAAGCTACATCTCAACAAGGACTTTGTAATGACATCAGCAATACAGACAGGTTTGCTGTCACCTGTGACCTTAGCAATAATACAAGCAAACACTATTGCGATTAAGACCCATGTCTACCTTCAAGCATGCCTCTGATTTCTTGGTCACGGGCGGCGTCTTTGGCTGTCTGTCCACTCCCATTGACAACCGTTGTGTCAGCACTGTGCTCCAAAAGAAGCATCACCAGCTCCTAAGCAACAACAACAGAGAAACTTTCTCAGCTGTTATTAAGCTGCTACTTTACTATATGACAGTCTTTTCCAAATTACCAATTGCTATAATTTCTAAAATAGAAAAACATTATGTAAGAATCGTCATACCAAATCAATTATGTCTACAATATATGAGTCAAATAATTCTGCTAATAACTGATAATTGCCTAAACAATTCCCATTCCACAATCAATATATAGCCAATTTCTGTAGCTGACTTTAAACAGGAAATTGTCTGGGAGCTAAAGCGATGGCTCAGCAATTAAGAGCACTTGTGCTTGTACAGAGGAGCAGGTTCACTAACCAGCACCCATATGGCGGCTCACAACCATGGTGATCCCAGCTCCAAGGCTCCAACGGGTATGGTATTCACACACTCATGCTGGCAAAACATTCATACACATAACATAAAAATAACTAAGTCTAAAAACAGTGTAAGTAAATTATCCAGTTATTTTATGAAAACAACTCATGATTATATTAAATATGTAAGCAAACAAACCACAATTTATAGAGAATTCAGGATATTCACTCATTTTAATATAGCCTGATGAGAATAATTTCTTGAACACTTACATTTTCAAAACCTAATTTTAACATTTTAATTATTTTCTAAAGCAATACAGACTGATAGGATATATCACAAAGAAAGAATAGTTTATACTGAAATAATTTCCTGAAGTCAATATTCAATAAAGAGGGTGTGGCAGTTTGAATGTAATTGGTCCCCATAAGCTCATAGGGAGTGGCACTATTAGGAGGTGTGGCTTTGTTGGAGTGAGTGTGGCCTTAATGGAGGAAGTGTGTCACGACGGGACGGGCTTTGAGGTCTCCTATGCTCGGGATTCCCTATGTCTCAGTTGACTTTTTGTTCCCTGCAAGATGTGGACTTTCAGCTACTCCTCCAGCACCATGTCTGCCTGCATGCTGCCATGCTCCCCACCATGATGATAATGGACGGAACCTCTGAAATTGTAATTAAATGTTTTCCTTTATAAGAGTTGCTATGGTACTGGGGTCTCTTCGCAGCAATAGAAACCCTAACTAAGAGAATATTACTCATTTTCACTCTGTGGTTAACTTTTAGAACTTCAGTATGACTGAATGTACTAATATGTAAGCCTAGTATCATATCACCAGTCAGCCATACAACCTAAGACAAGCGACATGGGGAAAACCCAGACAGCAGAAGTGTGGTGCATGCCCTAGGACACACAGCACCCAGGAAGGGTGCCAACACTTCATTTTTAGCTCCACACTAAGTGCTGTTCCAACTCCTTAACTAATGGTCCCTGAAAAACATGGCGTGAGAGCCTGTCTGTCCTACACTTTTCATCTTTCCTTTAGGCCTTAAAATCCCCTACGTTATTTTTAAGTATTCACACTTAAATACTTATATAATGAACAAAAATATATCTACCATATACACTATATACAAACATTTTAGTCTATGTCTTTCCAGTTGGTGCTCCTCCAAGTAAGCTTGAGCCTTCCTATGGAGCCCAGACTGGCCTCAAACAATCTTCTTGCCTTGCTTTTTTCCAGTAGATAAGGTCATAGGAGATACATAGGGAAACAGAAAACCCACTAGTATTTTAATAAAGGGAATTTTTAAATGACACTTCAGTATTTTGTGTCATTCTAGAGGTAATATTTCATGAAAATATTTCATGTGAGAAAATGAACCCAGAGAGTGATAAAAATTATTAACAAAATTGCATTGATGGTGGCATATACATTAAATTGGGAGGCAGAAGCAGGTGGGTCTCTAAGTTCGAGGCCAACCTGTCTATAGAGCAAGTTCCAGAACAGTCAGGGCTACACAAAAAAAAACCCTATCTTGAAAAACCAAACCAAACCAAACCAAAAGTATTTACACATCGTCCATTTGATAAAAGAATTGTATACAGAATATACAAAGAACTTTACAACTAACAAGACAATCCAATTTTAAAATGCAAAGAGCAGCGTATGGCAGCTCATATCTGTAAACACAACATTCAGGAGGCTGAAGAAAAGGGATCATGAGTTCAAGGCCAGCCTGGGCTACATACTGACATCTTATCTCAAAGACAAAAAACAGAAATTTTTTAAAATAAATAAAATGGGTGAGATAGCATTTGAACAATCTGAAAAGAGCTTCTGAGCCGCCCACCCTGCCTTGACGTCCTGAATCAGGGGCCCTAGGTCTACTTAGCCACCTCCAGGCGGGGAAGGCAAGCTCTCAGAAAAGAGCTGGTGTCAGAATAGATGTGATATTCAGAGTCAAAATTAGAACAGCAGAAGACAGCCCAAGGACTGGTGGCTGCATTTTATCCACTGTCATCGACGAGACACCCAAACGGACAAGTGGGGATGACACTGACATCTCAGTGGACAGAGAGGCTTTGTTTTCAGGGCACTGCAAAAGAACTCTTCTTGGACTTGAAACTGTTCTGCAAGCCCAACTGGGCTTCCCTCTAACCCAGTTCAAGGCCACCTGGCCCTCTGTAACACTGCAGATCCAAGACAGCTCTGTCACCTGCTCATCTGCCAGACCCTCCTGAGCTGTCCCTGGTGCTGAAGGAAGATCCACTCAGAGAACTCCTTTAATCTGCTGGTTTTGCTGCCATCTTCTAAGCTTCTCACTAACTCCCCAAATTCTATTTATTGATCATTGACGGTAGTTATGTATTTAATATGTAAAAGGCCCTACAGAGAAAACATTCCTAGATTCCAAATACTGAAGGCAGAATGGGAAGCTACCATGCAGGGGATGGACCTTGGGTTCACTCCTCAGCGTTAGGGAATCAGGGAAGCGCCACAAAACTTTGAGAAAGAGAAGTCTCTGACAGAATTGCAGCTCAGATCATGATGCTCACTGGGACAACCCCAGCAGAAGGTGAAAGTGGGGTTTTTAAAAAGCCAGGAAGATGTCTGAGGGATAAAGCCTAGGTCAAAAGCAATGGGGGCATTCCTAATTCTCAGCATAGAAGGCAAGAACGGTCCACAGTGCAGTACTTTGAGCACCAATGCAAACACGGCACAAGGATCCAGTGTGAGGACTAGGAGTCTCTTTTTAGACACAGGAGACACCAGAGGCCTGAAGCAGTGAAGACAGCATGCCAGGCCTCCGACGGAGGACCCCGACGCCTTATGAGAAGCATGGGGTGAAATAACAGATTCCAAAATAATCCCCAAGGAAGATCGAATGGCGTCAAAAGAACAGATTGGCTGGGTGAGGTGGAACATTTCCAGAGAAAAGAGAAGGGTAAGAAAAACATGGAGAAATGCCTCACAGGAACGAGCATCAAGCAAGCAGAGAACCAGCTGGAGAGACTGTGCCTACTCCTCCTGGAGAAGTCTCAGCTGTCAGACTAAAACGTGGAAATAGATGCCCTGAGACCTAGAGAGCCACAGCGCCCTCCGAAGACTCCAGATAAGCGCCTGCCCCGAAAACCAGGCGAGAGGGGTGCCAGGGAGCTGTAGGAGGGCTGCGGTCTTAAACTCAGGGCCAAGACAGATGCCTGCTCAGAGCAGGCTCAGGGCCGACTACAGAGTTCAGCAGCCTCCTAACCGCCCTCTCTGCTCCATCTACTTCCTTTCCTCAGCCCTCTCGTCACCTGTAGTTAGTGTCTGCTTCCCCTCAGGGAAGAGTCTGAGGTGCTCCATTTTTCCCTATACCTGAACAGCAGCCACTTCTGAACATTTACCCATAAATAAAGATATTCTGTTTCACATATTTCTGGCCAAGAAAGCACTTTGTCCAATTTGTCTAATAAGTCAGAAGACTAAAGTCTACTTGTTCTGTTCTTTTTTGGCAAGTGTCCCACTAAAAGGGGTGCCACACAACGAAGGTGACAGAAAAGTTAGCACAGTCGTTAGTCACGTCCCCAATTGCCCTCACCTCACCCTGCACACCCACTGTCAATCACTCCTCATTAAACCATTACAATGCTGTCAGCATCACACAAGTCACCTCAGATGATAAAGAGGAAAAGACCCGCACCCACATTGCTTTCTGAGCAATTTCCTAAGAAGGAATTCACACAGCATCAATTTTACCCTGCAAAAAGACACAGTTCTTTGGCTTTTAGTATACTCACAGAATTGCACTATAATATATACTATTGAATGCTGTGGATGATTGATTGATAAATAAAACACTGATTGGCCAATAGACAGGCAGGAAGTATAGGCGGGACTAGCAGAGAGGAGAATTGGGAGAACAGGAAGGCAGAGTGGGAGGAGACGCCAGCCTGCCATCCAGGGAGCAGCATGTAAAGGCAGCAGGTAAAGCCACAAAACACATGGCGACATACAGATGAACAGAAATGGGTTAATTTAAGATAGAAGAACTAGGTAACAAGAAGCCTGCCATGGCCATACAGTTTGTAAGCAATACAAGTCTCTGTGTTTACTCAGTTGGGTCTGAGCGGCTGCAGGACTGGCAGGTGAGAGAGATTTGTCCTGACCGTGGGCCAGGCAGGATTGGAGAAAACTTTAGCTACACTGAGTATCAGAACATTTCATCACCCTCAAGAGCCCTCATATCCACAGATAATTGCTCCCTGTTCTGATCCTTTTCCACATCCCCTAGCAACCCCTCATCTACATTAGGTCTTTATGAACTTGCCTCCTAAACATTTCAATGAAAGAATTACCCATTGTATGGCCATATGTGTATGGTCTCTTCCAATCACAGGGTGGAGGTTCTTCTGTTTGGGCATCTACCAGTACTTCATTCTTCTATGGCTGAACAACTTGTCCAGCATCTGGACACCACACCTTGCTTATTCATTAGATGAACAATTAGGCTTTTGTTTTTGGTCTATTATGAATGATGCTGCTAAGAATATTACCATATTGATTTGTTTAAACTTTATTATAAAGAATGTCATAAATTAAAAAAAATTACACATGAAAATTAACCAGACCCAAAGACTATAAAATTCAATGAATTTCTATACAATTAGAATAGGCATTTGGGAATTTTAGA